AGGAGAATATTTTTGGCAAGGGATCCCATATATGGTTTTCTTATTTAAAAATTCAGACTATGGCCATGCTACCCTGAACAAGCCTGATCTCAGAAGCTAAGCAGGGTCGGGCCTGGTTAGTACTTGGATGGGAGACCACCTGGGAAGACTAGGTGCTATAGGCGTAAAAAAATAAAATAAAATAAAATAAAATAAAAAAATAAGGGATTGTAAGCTGACGAGGTCCTTGTAATCTGTGAGGTCAACTAAGGGTTGCATTGCCTAAAAAAAAAAAAAAAAAAAAATTCAAATATATTGATGTGTAGAAGAACAAGATCTATCCATCACCCAGATGTAATAATGATTAACATGTTGCCATACCTACTTCAATTTTTTACTGAATTATTGACACTACTGAGATCGTGGCATTCCATCCCAAAACATTTCTGTATACATCTCTTTAAAATAAGTATATTTTGCTACATTACCACAATGCTATTATAATTTCTTACAAAATTTCTTAACATCATTCCCATCCTCTGTACCAATCTATGTTAATTTCCTCCAAGCAGCCCGTAAAATGTCCTTTACGATGGTTTGTTTGAACTTTGAATGCATTTGGCTGTTCTGTCTCTTCAGTCTTTTTTTTTTTTTCCCCTAAATGACATTGAGATTTGTCAAGTTGCTTCCTAGTGGTGGCATTTGAATTTCCTCCGTCTCCCCTGCTTTTCCTTGAAACTAGAAGTATGGACCAAAGCCTTGATTAGATTCCGGCTAAACACTTTTGGCACCAGCCTTCCACAAGTGAGTCTGTGTGCCTTGCAGGGCACCTCGTTTTCAAGGTGAGATATCTGATACCCCCACAGTGCAGCTGTTATGGGGTCCGGTGTAGCAGCCTGATCCTCCCAATATAACGTTAAGGGTTTCCCCCTGTACCCCAAATAATTCGTAGAGGTGACATTAGGCCCCAAAGCCATCGTGCATTAAATGCTTTATGTAAGCCGGAATCCCTTTGTAAAGGAATGACCATCCTGTGATTGCTTATTTCTCTCTCCGGGCCTCAGTTTCCATACCTGCAACATAGGTGGCCAGGTCCCTTCCACCTCCGCCATACTCCGGGGGGCGAACGGGACTGATTCGTGCAGCTGGTTCCCTCAGAGCTGGGGTCACCTGAACGTCTGTCACCTCTTGCCTTGCCCCCTTCCAGGCAATGACACCAACACCTGCCTGTGTCTCAATGGCACTGTGTGCGAGGCCTTCCGGAAGGGCTACCTGATGCTCTATCCCTTCGGCACCGAGTACTGCCTCATCTGCTGCGCCGTGCTCTTCGTCATGTGGAAGAACGTGGGGCGCCGCCTGGCACCCCACGCGAGCGCCCACCCCGGCACCCCGCCCTTCCACCTGCACGGGGCCGTCTTCGGGCCGCTGCTGGGCCTGCTGGCACTGGTGGCAGGCGTGTGTGTCTTCGTGCTCTTCCAGATCGAGGCCAGCGGCCCCACCATCGCACGCCAGTACTTCACCCTCTACTATGCCTACTACGTGGCCGTGCTGCCCGCCATGAGCCTGGCGTGCCTGGCGGGCACGGCCATCCACGGGCTGGAGGAGCGAGAGCTGGACACGCTCAAGAACCCCACCCGCAGCCTGGACGTGGTGCTGCTGATGGGGGCGGCGCTGGGCCAGATGGGCATTGCTTACTTCTCCACGGTGGCCATCGTGGCCACTCGCCCTCACGAGCTGCTCAACCACCTCATCCTCGCTTACTCCCTGCTGCTCATCCTGCAGCACATGGCCCAGAACCTCTTCATCATCGAGGGCCTGCACCGGCGCCCGCTCTGGGAGGTGGCCCCCGAGGGCCCGGCAGGGAAGCAGGAGGCGGAGGCGCAGCGCAGGGGCTCCCTGCTGGAGCTGGGCCAGGGCCTGCGGCGGGCCTCCCTGGCCTACATGCACGCCTACAGCCACCTCAACTGGAAGCGGCGGGCGCTCAAGGAGATCTCGCTCTTCCTCATCCTCTGCAATATCACAGTGAGTGACACGCTAGCGGCATAGGGGCAGAGCTGGCCAAGAGGCCCCAGAAGTCCTTGCCAGGATCAGGGCACATGCGCTGCACATTAACTGCCCCAAGGGTGATTGTCCCTTTGATTGTCAAGGACACACGCCTCTTTCCAACCATCTCCATGCTGCTTGAGAGCAGAGAGTGTCTCCCAGCCCCCTGCAAGGTGCCTGGCATGAATGAATGTGCCAGGCACATAGCTAAGCACTCTTTACAAACAAACGTGTAAGATTTCTACCCTCGGGAAGTTTCCCGTCTAGTTGGGGTGATACGGGGCGGGGGGTGGGGGACCAGTTAGGGAATTACCAAATAATTCATCATCCACTGAGTTTAGTCAAAGGAAGAGATCAGAACGTGCCTGGTTTCCTAAAGAATCTTCGGTGAGAGATGTTGACAATGGCTGCTTGATCCCAGGTCCTCACCTGGCAATAGCTCTGCATCTTGTCACAGAATCGTCACAGAAATTCCATGCAATGGGCACTATTGCTGTCCCTATTTCACAGATGATCAAGCTGAGGCTTAGGTTGTTCGACCTGCCTGTGGTCCCACAGCCTGTAAGTGGCAGTGCCAGCACAGCTCAGGGTTGTTTGAGCTCATGTGGGTAATGACTGGCTGTAAACACACCCCAGGTGTCAAAAACCTTGGTCCAGGCAGAGCTTAAGTAATATATTCGCCCTAAAGTACAGTAGGAGCTCGCAGAAGCCAAGGAAGGCTTCATAAAGGTTTGAGCTGGGACTTGAGAAATAAGTAGAGTTTGGACAGAGGGCAGGGGCCAGGGTGGAGCAAGCAGAGACTAGCAGAAGAATGAAGCTGGAGCAGAAGGTAGTAGAGATGAGGGCTCAAGGGAACCCAGCTTGACAGAGTAGAGTGTACCACCGATGGTGGCTGCCTGGGGTCTCGTGATCCATCTGGGGTTCAGGCTGGCAAGCCGAGGAGGTGGCTGTGGTCTGGGTGAGGCGGGGTTTGGGAGGAGACGGGCTGGCTCTGAAAGCCCAAGGGTGAGGGATATGCTGAGGCGCTGCGGGTTCTCGGGCCTGCCTCCCCTGTGCCGAGGGCATGGGAGCACCCCTCCCCCACCCAACACCCTCCTCTCCTCCCCAGCTGTGGATGATGCCTGCATTCGGCATACACCCGGAGTTTGAGAACGGACTGGAGAAGAATTTCTATGGCTACCGGACATGGTTCACCATCGTCAACTTCGGCCTGCCCCTGGGGGTCTTCTACCGCATGCACTCTGTTGGGGGGCTGGTGGAGGTCTACTTGGGGGCCTGAGGCAGCCCAAGGAACCCATTCCTGGCAGAACCCCAAAGTACCAAGGCTGGAAAAAATGTAGTCCAGAGTCTCTGAGCAGATGTGCCATTCCAGGGGGGCCTAGGGCAGCCGGGGTACCCCCAAAGTTTCCCCTTCCACAGAGCCTCATTAGGCTGGGCGGGGGTGGGAGGTGCCACAGTTCACAGCCCAAGACAAAGGGCAAAACCTGGACACTGAGCTTCTGATGCCCACGCCCAGGACCGGGCACATGCCTGCCCTGCTCACCACCACAGCGATACAGCCCAGCGAGCACCCAGGAAGACCCCACAGCTATTCCGGGAGGGCCATCCCTGAATGACTGAGTCTAGGGACTTTGGAGAGGGGCACTCCTACGCAGCCAGGCCTCTGGGGCCTGCTTCTTGCTGGGGGAAGGGTGCAGGTTTCAAGCGCTGCCCAGGGCATCCTGGAAGCTCACAGCTGGCCAGGCAGCCCTGCACTTCTCTCCCCCCCCACCCCCCACAGCCTAATGAGCTCATTAATTAGCTGCCAAGCAGGGTTCAACAGCTCTCTCCTGCTGCCATAAACTCTGTTTGTTTGATTGATTACATTCGGGCTTCGTGGCATTTGTCCCCAGGGACAGAACTGCCACTCTGGGTATGGTGGGAAGGGACGCTCCTCCCGGGCAAGGCTGTGGGGCTGGGATGGTTCTGTTTCTGGGCCAGGAGGGGTCTAAACCAGCCCTTGCCTTGTCTGACCCATGGAAGGAGGTGAGAAGAGAGGGGCCAGGGTTCCCGAATCCCCCGTCAGCACCCCATCTCTCTGACACAGAGCCTCAGGTGACTTTTGGGAGCTGGCTCACCACGGAGGCTGTGGCCTCTGGCTGCTGGGTCCCCAGGCCTGCCAGATCCTCTGAGCCATCAGGCGGAAAGGGCAGCCCCTCCACCTTCCTGAGCCCAGTGCAAACAGCGGGCTGGGTCCAGGGTGAGGCCCAGGGACACTGGCCCGAGCCTGCAGGCAGTCTTCGCATGCCTCCTGGCCCCTCCCCATGAAGCTGGGCACTGGCAAGCACAGGGTCGAGGTGCCAGGGACTCCCCACCTCCGGCCGCACCCTGTGGCTGCCTGGGGCCAGCAGAGCCCCCAGGGGCTGTGCAGAAGGCTGGGAGGTGGGCTTCTCGCCTCTCCTGTGCAGAGTCCGAATCTCCATCTCCTTACCAAGAAAGTGACAAACGCAGGTTCGCAGTTAGGCACTGAGGCAGAGTCCTCAGATCCCCTGATGACAAGAGCCATGGCCAGACACCCCCCTCCAAGCACAAAGAGCCGGGGCGTAGAGAGGGGGATTTATTGTGTACAGAGGCCGATTGTACAGAGCAAAGATTGTACTGACACAGGTGGGGTGAGGGAGAGCCAGAGGCCAGAGCCAGGTGGACGGCGGGGAGGACGGAGGGGTGGCATGCTGGCCCCACCACCTGACCAGTAGTATGGGTGCGGGCAGAGAGGACCGAACCTTGTCCCCTCCTCGTTCCATTTGCTCCTGTTACCAGAAAAGGGGGAGCCGGGCTCTCTCCACTGACCTGGGAGAACATAGCAGTGGACCTGCGATACCCCACTCCAAGCCCCTAAACATGTGGGGTTCCCCAGCCTGGCTTCTGCAGTCGGCCACCCCTAGCCTTCTCCTCCAGCAGACTGGTCACACACCTTCCTGCCATGGGCCCTGACGGCCGTCAACCTAGTTAGGAGGCTTGGACTGGCTCCCCTCACCCTGCCCAGCACCTCGAGGGACAGTCCGTGGCTCTCTCTTGGGCAACCTGTTAGGGCAGAGTGACCTGGTGGCCTCTGGGGGTGGACAGCGCAGGAGTTGAGGGTCAGTCTGGAGAAAGAGCAGAGTGAGGTGGGGGCTCTGGCTCGGGCCTGCAGGCCTGGGGACCGGAGGCTCCTGGAGGCGGGGGAGAGCTCGAGAAAGGTCAGAGCCAGTTCCCACTGTCCTAGCCACAAGGGGCCTCCGAGGCCTGCCACACAGGCCTCAGCCACTCTGCCAGCCCCCAGCCCTGATCACAGTAACTTAAAGCTCAGAACGGACGGACGGTGGGTCGGGGGGAATCTTGGGGGTGGGGACCAGGGCCCCCACCCCCGCTCCCCTGGCAGGCTTCCATCCTCACACCCGCTGGATCTCAAACAGCTTCACGTCGGTGTCATACCACACGGGTGGATCCACGTTCCTGGGGAGGGAGTAGGCTGTCATCGGGTGCTGGGAGGCCCCACAGAAAAGACCAGGGAGACGCAGAGCAGTGGGAAAGCCTAGACCCCTCCCACCTTGGTGTCCCGCCCTGGGCAGTGGATGCCCAGCCTCCACCAGACGGGGCCACCTGGTCGACTGTCTTGACACTAACCAAACTATGATGGTGGGACCCAGGGCCAAGGCCCACGCTGAACCCCGTCAGACACACCTCCAAGAGGACGCCGGACCCACCAGGCTGGTACCTGCCCTGCCCCCCGCGGGGCCCACCTCAGATAAATGACGCCCCACATGTAGGTGCGGAACCACATGGCCGTGCCCGAGTTGGCCTGGTACTTGCGGATGAGGATGGGGTGGGGCACGGGCAGCAGCCCCACCAGGGTGCCATGCTGCAGGAACCTCAGGATCTCCGACTCATCCGTCAGGCCCCTGCCAGGGCGGGAGGAAGCCCACCATGAAGGTCGAGGGGAGCACGGTGCTCACCGGGGCCCCCAAGGCTCCCGGCCTCACCTCGCCCGAGCCTGGATGGGCCCCTCCTCAGAGTCCACCCCGCCCCCAGCCTCACTTGTCAATGCAGATCTTCTCCACCTGGGGGACCAGCACCTGGAGCAGCCGCATGATGGTCTGCAGCGGCAACTTCGACTTCCAGGAGAGGACCTGCGGGGAGGGGCCAGGGGTGCTGGGGCTGGGAAAGCAGCCCCCGGAGGCTATGGGACAACCTGACCCCTGATGCAGGCTCTCCAGGAGGGCCTGGCACAGGGCGGTGCCCACGACAGGGATTATTTTTCCTGGCGAGAGCCGCGGCCTCGCCTCGAGCACATACTGTGTGCCAGAAACCACCTCCTCGGAGACTCAGGAAGGCACAGCAGGTAGGGACGATTATTATCCCCACGCAAGTGCCATTTGTGGTGATCTTGGGAGACATGTAAGGGACTAGGCAAGTGATTCAGGGAAGAACTGGAAAGAGTTACTAAGAGCTGTGGACAACTGACGCTTAACTCTGCTGGAGACAGGGAGCGACAGTCAGAGAGGTCACCCGACAAGGACTGACCCCGAGCCTGGCTCCCAGGCCAGTCCTTAGACTTGGACGCATGCCCATCAAGCCTTTACTGAGCTGCTCCTAGGCACCTGGCCTAGCCCCCGCCTGGGTGCCACCTGCCCAAACCCTCACCCACTCGGACGTTGGGCTCCACTGCCCACTGGCTGACGCGCTGGACAGTCGCCGCTGCTCCCGCCACACCTGGCCAGGCTCCTGGTCCCGGGAAGGAACGGAGTGAGGAATGGAGGGAGTGGGCACGGGGTAGGGGAAGCGGGCAGAGAAGCAGCCCCTCTTCCCAGCCCCTCCCACAGCCCGGAGCCCGGGAGGGCCATGAGGTCTCCCCACTGGCCCATGTGTATGGGGGTGCTCAGTTCAACTGAGGGGACAGCCCAGCCCAGCCCAGCACCCTTTGCCCTGGGCCCCCGGCCCTGCCCGACCCAGCCCAGTCCAGTGACAGATTTAGGGTAAAGGCCAGCCCAGGCTCAGATAAGGCTGATGGATGAGGAGTCTGAAGGCCAAGGGCTTGAGCCTGTGACCAGTAAACAAGGGAAGAGTCCATCAAAGCCTCCTTCCCAGAGAGTCAGCTGGGTGTCTGCCCCTCTGCTGCAGGTGACCCCAGAGTGCCCTGGCCGGGTCAATCCCGCAGACGCTGGGGAGAAAGGGAACGCCTGGCCTCACCCCACTCCAGGAGCCCCTGTCCCTCACCTCTTCGGCTGGGCAGCCATCTGCTGAGCTCTGCTGAGACGCAGGCTCCAGAGACCGCAAGGTGCCATCCTCGGACACCTGGGACTTCTCCGTCAGCTTGTCAATGCCTAGGGGGGCCCAGGTGGGTGTGAGGTCACCTGCCCAGGGCTCCTGGAGCTTCCACTTTCCTCCACCCACTTCAGAGATGCAATGCCCCCACCCCTGTGCCCAGTGCTCCCGAAGCCCACACTCAGGCCTGAGGCCCGGACGCCCTCGAAGCTTCCCTCCTGGGTCCCCTAATACCTCCGCCCCCATCGCCCTCTCATCCCATCTCCTCAGTTTCCCGACTTAGGCCATGCGCCTTCCCAGAGACCCCGCCCATTCCCCAGCCACGCCAGGACCCACACGCCCCGCCCCACGCCAGCCGCGCCAGACCTGGGGTGGCCACTAAGCTGGTCTTGAGGGTGCCCGGCTCGGCGGGGGCAGCTGGGCGCGAGCCCTCCATGGAGGTGCCTTCCTGCGAGCTGCTGCGGGACAGGGGCTCCGGCGCCCGCCGGCGCCGCTGCAGAGCCTTCTGGATGGCGGGCGGGTCGGCGGGCAGGCTGGCCAGCTGGTGGAAGACACTGCGCTTCCGGATGATGGCGTACACCAGGCTGGAGTTGCCTGCGGGGAGGGAGAGCCTCACCTCAGGGAACCTCCCCCACCACCACCACCACCCCACCTGGGAGGGCATCAAACCCGGGGGCAGAGACACGCCCAAGACAGGCGGCCAAGGCGGGGCGGGCAGCCAGTGGGTATGTGCCAACAACGGTGGCTACACCACGATGTCACCTTTCTGGGAAAGAGCTTCTCAGAGGAGCTTCCCTGTGCCCCTCCCCGACACCTTCCAGACCCCCTCGCAACCAGTACTAAGGGGCACAACACGTTAATATGCACACGGGACAGCTGCTCAGTGCTTCGACTGTTGCCCTGAGTCAGGTCACCTGGGAGGAAGGACATGTAGGCTGTCCCTCTGCTCCCTTGATGCTGAATTTCCTCGGCTCTGGCCAAAGGTGCAGACGCTTGCCAGGCCCTCGATGCCCAGTCCACCTCTTTGGTC